TTCCATATAATGGTATCACAGGGCTCATATTGCGCCCGATCGCAGCATGGCCCTGTAGGCGCCATATTTTTTCTCTGTAACTTCTTGACACTGCTCATCGTATCAGCTGTTCTTTCGGCCTTGTTGAAACCCACTACTTTTTCAGCAGCGGTACGTAGTTATCGGGAAATGTGGTTCCACTACTCGCGTTTGTCGGTTTGTTGAAGAGTACTCTTAGGTCGGTGTTATGCAGAAATTTTGTTTGGCAAACTGCGTGCAATTGTTGTTGCAGCAAACTCGGAGAGAGCGAGTTTGGCGACTCTCACAGCAAACTAATTTTGTTTGCTCAAACTGCAGCAAATTCGGTGTTGTCATATACAAAAATTTTAGACAATTGTTGCTATACACAAAAATTTCCGTGATACCGAAAGCAAGAGAAATGAATTTATGATGTAGGAGCTTCAAAGATTAGGGCACAGTTAATTGCATATACGATATCATAAAAAATAGATTAATTATGCGCGTTATTTACATCTGAAATTCTCATTTCCTGTTGGCAATAGCCATGAAAACCATAATGAACGGGCAACCCTGTCTCAAACTCGACATAACCACCTCCGAGAAAACTAAGCAGCCGCCATTTAATTTGGCAAACAAAAGTTTGTCTGCATAATACCGACCTTAGAGAGCAGATGTGAGAGCCGAGTAGAGAATAAATTGGCCGTCTGTTGTGACTTCAGCTTTTCGACAATACTCAGTGGGCAAATGTAATGTATATTAGTGGGAAAAATTATCAGTAAAACAACCCTTTTCGCATTCGAAAATGCATTTTTTCCCCGGGGTGATGTCCTAAGTAAAGTGGGGCATTCAATTTAGCATTACCTAGCATCGAGAAATGAATGTGTTTTAATATGAAATTTTTGGAACTTTTTGAATACATTAGAATGCTGATTACATAGTTAGCAGTAATATTATCGAGAACGCATAAGAAATACATTATATTATTTATCACGCATGTAATGCATTACTACTTTTCCGACTGGGTAAGGCATTGTTGCGCGCACATTTTTTGGTTGAGCAGAGGTAGGTGCGTAACAAGATAGTGGTCCGAGGGAGGCTGTGGGCAATAAGACAAACGGCAATAAGGCAAAATTTCTTTACTTCATTTTTGAATGGGAAATATGTACTACCAAAATCTGAGTTTTGCATTATTTCCCACGAGTGACTCTAAAAAGTGGCGCTAGAAACGTAATTAGTTCAGTAACTAATTTGTAAACTGTTGTAATTTTTATTTGATAGGCCCATAAAATACATAAAACACAGGTTTTAGTTTGTTAATTTTTAATGTCGATATTCCGACCTCAATCTAGGGTCATCTTCAGGAACTCTTAATTGTGCCTGCAATTTAAAGGCCTATGCAAATCGATGCATATTTCGATGCATCGAATGAAGGAAATACATCGATGAATTTTTTTCACTGGCATCCCTAAGTAGTCAAATATATGATCTTTACCATGATTCAGTAATAGAAAGGTTTTGTAATAAAACAGTCTTCTCGCTCCCACACATAAAATCGGCTCCTTTACTTGTGCAGAATGTTGCTTACACTACAGTTTCTAGTGATATTAGTAGTAAACCCAAAAATTCGTCAGACTAAATATTCGTTGGCATCACCTTCGTTTGCGTAATTTTCTAGAACAACTGTAGAATAGTGACCGTTTAGCTATAAAATAACCAAAAATGCCGATAGATAGAACTTTTTACGCTGATTACAACGATATTTGGCGCAGGCCAAAAATAACGAAGATATAAGAGGTTTATTTGCTTTGTTTATTTGTATTTTTTATTATCACTGAATTGTGGAAACCCCAAAGTACATCATGATAAAATATGTAATATCGAAGTAAAGATAATAACTTGTACGTTCTAAATAATATAAATTTCTTTACCATTAATTATGCATTTTTTTTCAAAAAAGATTGTTTCATGAAAAAATAACATTTGTTCGTTTTTAGTGGTTTTGGTTTAAAAATACAAGAAGCTATAAATTATGTACACCAGCTGAAAGACAAATCAATAATCTTTATGGTGGCGTCATTAGTTTTTTTATCGGTTATACTTTAACCTTCTAGAACGTCTTGATTTTTTTACTTACGCCGAATGGCATGGTTGAAATGAGCATAAAAAGTTCTATTGATCTGCAGTTTTCGTTTTTGCATTGCTGAACGGTCGGTTCCAGGAAATGATGAATAACTTAAATCAAAAATGCACATATTTATGTATTGTTTAGTATTTTCATTAAAACACCAATTAAAACACCATCGCAAAAGGCGATCACATTCTTCCCCTTTCTCCCACTTCCAAAATACAAACCTAGATAAAGGAGTGTCAAATTTTAGCTGTCACAAATTACACAACCTTGTATTATTGAATCATGGCTCTTTACATAGAAATTAAAATTATTACTACATTACACTGCCACATAAACTATATGTATATGTATATGTATGTATGTATAACGTTAAAATATTTACAATATGTATTAAGGCTTACAGACACACAGAATTTTATAAAATATTTATACACATATTCTCCCAGCACAATTGCATTTTAAAATAAGAACCATACCTGACATTGAAAGTTCCATAATAAAAATATAACTTTTCCGGAAAATTTTATTAAAAATAGCGCTTGAAATCACTGCGAAATGCACCAAATGATTTCCGGCCTATTAGTATTTTACCTTCACTTTCAAAGGTTTTTGAAGCGTTGTTGGCAGAACAAATAAATGAGCATGTTCATAAACGCAGTCTAATTTCCAATTTATAATCTGGATTTAGGAAAGGACATAGCTGCTCAACGGCAATGCTTAAAATCATTGATGATATACGCTTGTCATATGACAAAAATCAACTAACACTACTTTGCCTACTTGACTTCTCAAAAGCATTTGACTCTGTTAATCACGACATATTGTGTACTAAACTTAAAGAGTATTTCGGATTTGGAAAGGATTCCTTGAAGCTTATGGGGAGCTACCTATCTGGCAGATCCCAGTGTGTACGAATCGGTACAAACATCTCTAAACTTGAGCCGGTTTCCTCGGGGGTTCCTCAAGGTTCAGTCCTTGGTCCTCTTCTATTCAGTTTGTTCATAAACGATGTTTTTCTTACATGTAAATTTGCAAATATTCATGCCTATGCGGATGATATTCAGATATATCTATCTAATAACTTTGGAAATATTGATGTATTAGTAAGCCAACTTAATTGTGACCTGGATGCCATTGAGCAATGGTCTAAGGATAATAATCTTCTCCTGAACTCTAGTAAGTCATATGTATTACCAATTGCAAAGAAGAAGCTTAATACCACTGCCATACCTCATTTAGTTATTGGTAATAAACCATTACAATTTGTAAGTAAAATCACTAATTTGGGCTTTATAATTAACTCGTCTTTGAACTGCACTGATCATATAAATTCGGTAGTTAGTAAAGTTTATGGTACTCTCAGAAGTCTACACCAAAGTGCAATATTTACGCCAATTACTACTAGGCGTAGGCTTGCACTACAATTGATAATACCATTAATGACCTATTCTGAGCTGGTTTACAATAAATTGGTCTCTGTTTCAGCTCATAAGTTATCTGTGCTATCCAATCATGTCACTCGGTACGTTTACGGCCTAAGAAAATTTGACCACATTTCGAAGTGGAGAACGAGTTTGCTGGGATGTGAAATACATGATTACCAAACGGCCCGGAGCTGTATATTTCTTTACCGGCTAATCATTACCAAGTCGCCTTCTTATCTTTATGACAAGCTGATATTCCCAAAATCTGAGCGCACCAGGGATCTTATTGTACCCGATTTCAATTTCGCAACATCGACTAGACTGTTTTTCATAAATACTATTAGAAGTTGGAATTCCATTCCGACTGCACTAAGAGGCAAGTTAAATAAAAGCAACTATAAAACTCTCATATATTCGCACTTCTCTAAAAACCCAAGCAGGCTATCAGAATTTAAATTAGTTTAATTTAGAATTAAGAATTATGTATTATGTATTATTTATTATTTACCTATTTATTTATTTATTTTGTTTTGTCCTGTGTAATCACCAATATTTCCTATGTCCTAATTATGCGTACCAAATTTTGTTGTACTAAAAAAGAACACAATTCTTATTGTACTAATGTAACTCTTTGTTGATAAATAAATTCAAATTCAAATGTGTAACGCGCCTTCGACACAGCGGAACAATGAATAAATATGCATTTTGTATAGCGTACTTGGCCTATACCGTTCAATAGAGAACATTTATTTTTTCACAATTTTATCTACTTTTCCCGGCTACCTAATACAATTAAGATATCTACATTTCTCTTGTTTAATTAATCCACAGAATTCGGGTGAAATACCGTGGTAATTGTCAGAAGTTTTAGTTAATAACGTCCTTGTACTATCCTAACATATTCGTGCAGGCCACTGATACCTACATACATATATACATACAGGTACATGTTATGTATGCCCTGCAAACAAAAGCGAAATCTTTAGGAGTATCTTAATTCTGTAACGTTTTTTTTGCGAATCTTAAAAGAAAATTATATGAAGTGGTTGGCACGAGCTCGTAAAGAAATTTCTATACGAAAAGTAAAGCAAATTTTGAAAAACTTTTGAAAGAAATTCTTCACATAGCAGCATTATTTTCATTTCTTTACCGATTTTCTTCCAAAATTTCGTAAAAGAATCGAAGTGTGCACAGTTTATTTCATTTTAGAAAATCCGGCAAAAAATCGGGTGAGATTTTTTCAAATTCCTTACAGTTTCTCTACAATTCAGAATGCTCTGAAAAAAAGGTTGCAGGGTGTTTATGATCCTTCGAACCAATTTCACGCATTTTGAAATTTATGTATTTACTTATTTATGTAGGGATTTTGGTTCGTAGAACTTATTTTTATATTATAATCTTGCCATTGATTTGTGTTTAATATTTACAATTGCTTTTTGTTTCAGATAATACCAAGGATCCTTAGGCTTTACCAATAATTTCGGAATATGTTTGTATCGGTGAACATACATACATAGAACCCCACATCTGCAGTCGTACAAGTTTCCTTCTGCTTCATGAGGATATACGTACTATCTAAAACTAGCCACTCCTGCTTCATCTTTGAACTGGATGTCATACATAAATACATATGTACATAAATAATATTCAACATTATTCCTTCATTATTACATTATTCAGCTATCAAAAAAAAAAACAATAATTATATTTACCAATTGTATGCATTTAATCATCTAAAATTAGTATAAAGTTGCATAAAGTAGAATGTTTAACGCGAAAATCAAAAATGTTAAGACTACTTTAAGTGAATAATAAACCAATTTTCGTTCGGCCGAAGAGCGGTGGTTTTCGGTTACAGATACGAGCCAAAATAAGAATTTGTGGATCACAGAGAAGTTGAGGAAGTAGCTCATAACGCAATTTGTTGAACTATATACATACATAGCATAGTCATTGCATTTACCTACATAAGGGTACAAATATAGCAAGCAGGTAGCGGTCATAGTGACTGCACCCTGACTATCAGCTGAACGTCAAGGGAAAATTGCACATTATGCAGAGGTATTGCTATTTGATAGTCGCTGAATTTAATTTAATTTAATAATCTTCAATTTAAATATTAACAAGTAAGAAAGTCTAAGTTCGGACGGAGCCGAACATTAAATACCCGGCGCAAGTATTAAATATATGATTTTCACCTTTCCGAAAGCTACCGCTACATGGTAAACCGGGGTGTATCAATTTTGAGTAGCGTCCTTAAATTTCGAAATATTGAAGTTTCAAGCATTTCTGAAATTTACCGTTATATGAAAAGCGGCCTCAATTTTAATTCAATTTCAATAATTTTCAACGTTTTGCTTTTATGAGGCAAGCACAATAACCATACCGAATTTGGTACAAATTGGTACCGAGATACATATGTGTGATCATAAGTGGGCGGTGCCACGCCCATTTTCCAAAATTATGTCATGAACGTATTTCTTGGTAAACAATTGTTGCAAGCATTAATTTTTATTCAAAATTTAATAGCTTTAATATTTACTGATTTATGGAAGATTTTGTATTTGTCCAAATTACCGTTATATGGGATGTGTGCGTGGTTATTGTCCGATTTTAAAAATTTTCGGCCATTTGGTATGCTGAAGCAAGGCTAAGAACTATGCTAAGTTTGGAAGAAATTGGTGTAGCGTTTACCAAGATATACACATGTAACCATAAGTGTGCGTGAATTCGCCCATTTTCCAAAAATTTATAATATTCTTATTTTTCGTCCACAAATTATTGTAAATATTAATTTTGAGTGAATAATCTTCAGTGGTTACTAAAATATCGCAGTTTTCGTATTTCTGAAAATTACCGTTATATGGGAGGTAGGCGCGGTAATTGTCCGATTTTGCCCATTTTCAATACCATCCGTCCTACACCCGAAAGAAGTGCACGCGCAAAGTTTCGTTAAGATATCTCAATTTTTACTCGAGTTATCGTGTTCACAGACGGACAGACAGTCACCGCTTAATCGATTTCTCTTTTCATTCAGATCATTTATGTATACATTTGTCTATATCTATCTCGATTCGTTTTGCCTGTTACAAACAACCGTTATGTGAGCAAAGTTCACAAAGTGCACAAGTGCGCTCGGGTATAAAAATCGATCCGAAGAGTGATAACACCAGAGACACCCAAATAGCAATTGAAATTAGCCTTTTTTATGTTGTCACACAGGCGGCCGCTCTGGTTTAGTGGTTAGCAATGCGCGCTACCATCCCGCAGGGCCTGGATTCAAGCTCTGTTCAAGCCCCAACATAAAAAAAAAAATAAAATAAAAAATAAAGTGGTTTCTAATAGCGGTCGTACCTACGCAGGCAGTGGCAAACCTCCGAGTGTATTTCTGCCACGAAAAACAGTTTCTCATAAAGAGACAATCGCAGTTTGCCTTACTTTCATTGCCCAATCGATCCATTAAGGCTGCAAAATATTTCCTTTTTTTATCATCCACCCTGATATGCAATGAAGATTATTACATAGTAATTGATATTGAGCTCCAATGATAATAAAGAAGGCAGGGCAGGAACCACAGGCACCAACGGGAGTGAAACATGTCACAAGTTACAAATGAAATGAATAATAGTGAAGTCAATTTGGCAATTTCACCCCAAAAAGTCAAACAGCCCTAGAAAACCCATAGCTCGCCTCAAAGTTAGTTTATCACGAGTTAATAGACCAAAGTAGGAAGTTTCTTTTTCTTAACACGAAAACTGAACTATGCTTCGGCAAGATCGGCATAAAGGTCCATAAATGGCTTAAACTTAACTTTGGTTCTTTGCAATTTTTTTTGTTGACGGTGTTCCGTATTTGTCTCTATATAAAAAAAAATTCGAACATACATACTTTGTATGTTTTCATTCGCTACATACTGTTCTATGCGACGCATGTATGTATATGTATATTAGTGTCGTATCGAAGATTCGCCTGGTATTCGTATTTCTCTAAATTGCCATTATATGGGATGTGGGCGTGGTTATTGTCCGATTTTAAAAATTTTCGGCCATTTGGTATGCTGAAGCAAGGCTAAGAACTATGCTAAGTTTGGAAGAAATTGGTGCAGCGGTTACCAAGATATACACACGTAACCATAAGTGGGAGCGGCTACGCCCATTTTCAAAAAATTTATAATATTCTTATTTTTCGTCTGAAAATTATTGTAAATATCAATTTTGCGTGAATAATCTTTAGTAGTTGCTAAAATATCGCTCTTTTCGTATTTCTGAAAATTACCTTTATATGGGACAGATTTTGCCCATTTTCAATACATCCGTCCTACGCCCGAAAGGAGTGCAGGTACCAAGTATCGTTAAGATATCTCAAATTCTCAATTTTTACTCGAGTTATCGTCAGGGATGCCGTTTGGATCTAAATAGATCCAATTGGATACATTTTTAGACGAATTTTCGCGGGATACTTATTTTTTCCGGTCAGTATAAATGTGGATACTTTTTTAAATAGGCCAAAATTTTATATTTCCTATAAAGTTTTTTTCGTTCAAAAATCGATTTTCATTAAAGATGGTTACGTTTTACGTTTTGTAAACGTATAAAGAATCGCTACTTAGGCGTGAAATTAAAGCATTTTATTTTTTGTGAACATAGCAATGAACATATGTATGAAGAGATCTCACCAAAATAGGTATAAGCGCAATTGCTTTAATTAGCTTAAAAGGATGCTTTAAGCAAGATCTTAATAATCATATCGTCGTTTAAAGTACAAAACCGCGTATCAACAAAATGCAAAACTGCGTATCAAGATAATGCAAAACCTCGTATGTGACGTTGCATAAATTATTTTCTAGAGAGTAAAAACACTTATTTTTCAAAATGGTTCTTTTTTTATAAAGCAATCGCACTTCTGGCTAGTATATTTCAGGACGAATGGATAAGGATTGAGCCAAGAGCTTGTGTGAGCAAATCCAATTTTTGGCAGCAAACGTCAGTTACGCGGTTATGCAGATTGACGATACGCGGTTTTGTACTTTAAACGGCGATATATATAAAATAAATTATACTCTTTCTGTAGTAATCTCTTTCATATCACATATTATCATTTGTTAATTTAAAAAGAAAGAAGATTTCAATGTTGTTTAGAAAACTAAATTTAATTTATTTAAGGAAACTTTTATGAATTTTACTGAAAAAATTTTGTTTATTTGCGCATATTGAGAGAGGTAACCAGATTCCTCTTTTAATGTGTGCAAATTTGCACGCCGTGTAATAAAATTAATCATTGCCTCTTTACTTTTACACATAAAATGTTTAAAATAAAGTAATGTTTATTATTAGTAGGAAATCTATTTGTAGTTTGAAAATTTTTGCAATTTTAAACATTCTATATATGTGTATTTATGTGCATATTTTAAAGATCTCAAGTTCAAAATCAAATACTGAACATCCTATACCTATATTTATAGAGATTCTTGTTGAAAAATAGATACTTTTCAGTAGTAGTTTTACATGCTCTTTTTAGAGTGTACTTGCTATTTATTATATTTACTTTGCACAATACTTATGCACAAAAAATGTACTTTATAAATTGAAATTACAAATGTTTGATTTTATGCACATGCATTCCAAGTCCTTAGGATGGGTTAAATTATGTCTTTTTCATGAAAATGTTTGGTTTTCTTACAAATTATGAGATGTATATGTAAAAAAGGAAATTGGATACATTTGGATACATTTTTGGCTTGGTCAGTGATACATTTTCTTGAGACGGCGCGGCAACACCGGTTATCGTTTGCACAGACGGACGGACGGACAGACAGTCACCGCTTAATCTCTTTTCATTCTGATCATTTATGTATACATTTGTCTATATCTATCTCGATTCGTTTTGCCTATTATAAACAACCATTATGTGAACAAAGTCATAACACCCTTGTGCACAAGTGCGCTCGGGTATAAAAATGCATATGAGTGATGCAATTGCTTTTTGCTGTGATTTTGTAGAAACATGAAAAATTTCCAACAGAATAAAATTATAGTTTAAAAAACTAAAAATTCGCTACGTAACTTGAGAATGGAAATCGCTGCATCTTTTAGGCGCATCATTATTAAATAGTTTCATCCCTAGCTAATAAAAGCGAGGTAAAAAGTCATCTGCGATTTGCAGTGTGTGCCAGAAAGAGATTTCCCTGGGAAGTGAAGCGTTAACAAAAAAAAAAAAAACAAAAAAGCTTGGAAAAGCATTTACAATTGCTCCTTCACAATATGAAGAATTTTAAGCGGCTATGGAAAATGTATGTTTGTAAGGTGGTGTGAACCCGCATGACGTTAAGAAGTCCAAAATTGAATTTCAAAAACTTAAATAATATTCCAAATGTTAGTCAGAGTTATAAGAGATCCGGGTGTCATATTTCATCTAAGACCGTGCAGCCGTTTTTGAGTGAAGATACATAACCCAGTGGGAAAATTTGATGTAAAGTAAACGAAAAAATAATCAGTAAAACAACCCTTTTCACATTCGATAATGCATTTTTTCCCCAGGGCGATGTCCTAAGGAAAGTGGGGCATTCAATTTAGCATTACCTAGTATCGAGAAATGAATGTGTTTTAATATGAAATTTTTGGAACTTTTTGAATTCATTAGAATGCTGATGACATAGTTAGCAGTAATATAATCGAGAACTCATAAGCAATACATTATGTTATTTATCACGCATGCAATGCATTACTACTTTTCCGACT